AAATGTAGAGCTCAATAAAAAATAATTTTAAAAAGTTTGGAAATTTCCACAAAATTTCTCCCAAAGAAAGAATTTAATAATTTATTTGTTTAGTGGTATATAGTCACTGTTCATAATAAAAGATTTCAAAAGTAGATTTTCTTCAAAAATCTAGTCTACTTTAACCATATTTCCCCTTTCCACTCATTTTCATTCTTTCCCATTATTTCTTAGATGGTTTTATTCCTACTTTCATGTCATACACGTATGCAAGGTTTGAAATATGTACACATAATCTGTCTTAGTTAAGGTTTATATTGCTGTAAATAGAGACCATGACCAAGGCAATTCTTATAAAAGAAAACATTTAATTGGGATGGCAGCTTGTAGTTCTAGGGATTCAGTCCATTATAATCATGGTGGGAAGTATGGCAACAGGCAGGAGGCAGGGTGCTGGAGGAGCTGAGAGTCCTACATCTTGCAGGTAGCAGGAAGTCTACTGGCTGTCATACTGAGGGAGGCTTGGCTAAAAGAGACCCCAAAGCCCACTCCCACAGTGATGTACTTCCTCCCACAAGACCACAACTCCTAATAGTGCCTCTCTCTTTGGGGACCATTGTGTTTCAAACCTCCACAACCTAAGCTTCATAAATGAGAGTGAACAGCTTTATGAGTCTAACTTGGTGCACTATCAGGATCTCCAGTTGTGCCCATTTTCCTGAAAATGATACATTTCTCTCTTTATGAATAAAGAAAAATCCCATTGTGAGTACTTCACACATTTCCCCTGGCTGATCTTTAGGTAAGTTTCTTTTCTTAAGTATTGTGAGCAGTGCAGCTTTTTCTAAATATATTCTATTTAATGTAGATTAAATACCATTTTTTTATAAATCAATAAAAATCAATACAAAAAAGAAATGGAACCTAAAAAAAAGAAAGAAGAAAAGTAACATCAGAGGAATGATGTGCTTAAGTATTGGGTGTCTCTGAAAACTGCAAATTCAAAAGTAATGCATCTTAAAAATAGCTTGGCAAATATAAAATATTTTGAGATAGTCTATACATTGGCAAAGTTCTATAAATTTAAAAATTATTTGTGTTGAGAATTTACAAACAACCTATACACACTGAGAGACACTAAAATGCTCAACATTGTTAGCCTGTAAGTTCTTCTCAAGTGGATCAATAATCAATGTAAACATTATTAAAATATCAATAAAACCTTAATAGAAATTGACAAGGTAACTCTAGATTTCAAATGGAAAATTAAAATACGTTGAATAACTAAAGCAGGAAGCTAGAGGACTTATCTGGTTCTGAGAGTACCCGCCAACCTAAATACGTCTGTAAACATGAAGTACACTGTGCTATTTGCATCAAGATGGGCAAATGGCAACATGAAAACAGGAAAGTCCAGAAATAGACTCATGGGTATGTCAGCACTGATTTTGAACAGAAATTTAACGACAACTCAAAGTTAAAAGAAAAGAAATGCCCTACTTCTCCCCTTCCCCCTTCTCTGTTTCTCTCTGCTCTTCTGCCTTCTCTCCTTCCTTTCCATAGCCCACTAAATAAATATCCAACCTCACTCTGCAGAAAATAAATAAAAAAATTTCAATAGTGTTAATCTTCAAACAAAGTTTTCTAAATCTTATATTTTCTTGCATTGCGTATGAAATTAAATTAAAATGCAAAATAAGTACAAATGTAAACCTAAATCTGTAAAATTTTTAGAAGAAAGAGCTGTGAATTTGAACTAGGTTGCAATGCTTCCTAAGATCTAACACTAAACACTTAATCCCCAAAGGGAAAATGGATAAGTTACACTACATTGCAATGGTTTATACAAGAAAAACAAGAGATGTCTGCCATGGTCTCAGGTATTTAATCTCTTGGTCTCTTTGGTTCGTGGTACTTTTTGGAAGGGTTTAAGTGGTTTAACCTTGCAGGGCAGTACATTACCGGGGTGGGGGGCTGGTTTGGATATGAAAACAGTCAAAATAAAACGAAAAATGGGCCAAACTAATTCCAGTTTGTTCTCTTCTTCTTCTTTGAGTTTGAGAGTGTGGGTTCTCAGTTTCCTGCTCGAGTTGCTACACAGGCTACTTGAGGCCATACCGTCCCTACCATTATGGACTCCAGCTTACTGGAACCAGAAGCCAAGATGATTTTTCTTCCATAATTTGTCTTGGTTTGTGATGGTTTTATCACAGCAGCCAAAGAGTAACTAGAACAGTCCTGCTATCCAAAGAGTCCTGTTCCGAGATAAAACAAGAGCCTCACACTCACTGGGAGAAATGTTTTTAGAGTGCTTCTGATTGAAAGAATTCATTCAGAATATATGCAGAAAATTTCATAGTCAATAATAAAAACAAAGCTCACACGCCTAGACAGATAAAGAAGTTTAGCCTCACTGGGTCAATCAGATTCACACGGAGGTTACTTCTAAGTTTCTTAAAGTCATTTTGATTCTGTGAATTTTAAAAATAAAAAAAAATCCTTAAATTGGATTCAAATTATATCATTTTTTTCCTCCCTTGGTGTCAGAAAGAATCATATTTCTGCAAAGTTCCAAACACTTTATTTATCACTGCCGTGGAAGGTGCCATTACCTCCCTCACTCATCTTACCAGTCCAGGTCCCAGCCAGGATGTCCATTTCTCTATATCCCTTGTTCTTTCCCAATCTCGCCTCTTTCCCACACTTTATTATCATCTTGAATTGTTCCAATATCTTTTGACCATAAATTCTGGTGGAGGGAACACATATCATGCCAACGAGTTCCAGATCAACTTCTAGCTACTGTGCAGTCCTTACTGTTAGCCATTTATAGAGTTCTTAGTCCTTGGTTCATCATTCTGCTCTCTCTCAGTGCCAAGTCAAATCCATTCATCTGTGAATGGCTCAGCAGTCCTTCACCGTCTCTGCTGCCCTTCTAGCCTACTCTGTCTGGAGAGGGGATGCTAGAAAAGCTGGGGTAAGCTTTAATTCAGGACAAAGCATTTCAATTGGCATAAGGTTAGTATTTCCTTGCCTTTGATCTTCAGAATTATTTCAGGAATATTTAAAAGGTCTGGAGAAATACACAGAGGTGGGCAAGACACACAGAAAATGCCAGTGAGAAGGGTGAGGGACTGATGACCTGAGAGCAGTAGGGGGACACCTTCAGTGTAAACTGGGAAACGGGTTTAATGGACAATAGTGGCAGACTTTTTCTGTTAAAGAGAAAATATGCAAAATCATGGAAACATGAAAAAAAAAAAAAAGGCCAGAGCTGCAGGTGATGGTAAATGTGTAGCTTTGTTTATGTTGGCTGTAGGCGCTCTGTACTTTCCCCTAGACCTAATGTATTGCTAGTTAAAACAATGCACAGTGAGTTTCTTTTTCCACGAAATGAGTAATCATGAGACCTGAGGGTTGGCAATTGCGGGGAAGGAGGCACATTGTCTCCGTGAGCATGGTATCAGTACGGTCACGAGGGCTGAACTCAGAGTGGTCCTCTAAGAGGCTTCTCATGCTGGCTTGATGTTTGAAATGAGATTTTTAACTTAGAGCAGAAGAGCCTATGGAGAGATTTTGTACCTTGTACCATGTACCTTCCTTCCTCCCACCATGCTTCTGCCCTGTACACATTCTCAGAGGCTCTCCAAGGCTCTTCTCTCTTGAGAAATACCTGACTTTATTCACCTTCTTTGTCCCCAATCCTGTGTTTGGGGCAAGAGGCTAGTGGTAAGGAAGACAGAGATAAGAAAAGGCTGTGTTCAAATATTCCAGGGCCTCTTGGGGCCAGATAGGACAGTGACTGTCACTACCCTTAGTTGTAATTCCGTGACTTGATCTGCACATAAGTCAGTCCACGTGAGGTTCTTGCCAGCTTCTAATCTGGGCAATAAACAGATTCCATTGCAAAGGTTCCATTTATAAGCTCCCGATGGTCAGTTGTCCACCATAATATGGGATGGAGCAGCATGGAAAGATAAGAATGTTTGGTTAGACTGGACTAATGCATAATTCACATTATGTAGCACATGCAACAAAGGTAGTGAAAGGGAACCTAGGAGCTGTGTATTTGGTGTGTCCCCTACATAGTGGTTGTGTTAGCTCTTGTATTCAGGTGCTGAGAGCCTATGATATACTAAGTAATAAATGAACAAATACAATAAATGAAGAGATGAAGGTCATAGAGGAGAGAAACATATTGAATATTTTTGCACCTGGGAATTGCCAATGCTAGTCAATGCTGGGAAGACTCAATGCATGATTGGTATGGTCTAGGCATGGGCCCAGGTCTCCAAAATGGAAAAAAAATAGAACAATTTCTCTCTATCAGGTTGCCTGAATTTCCCCAACTCATAATTACTTGATACTTCACAAAATCATTCACATTGTATTTTATTTTGAAATTTATGGTCAGTTTCACTTTTTGAGTTCTGTGAACTCAGCCTACTATCCAGTTTATGGAACAAGGGAAGAATAAAATGAGTAAAAGCCATGCATGAAGTGTCTGTGTCTGTGCGCGCCTGCTCGTGTTCATGCATGTGGGCTTTACAGAAGCCACGAATTCTGACAGTGTTCAGAAATGTGTGTAATCACACGCTCTCTCCCATGTGCTTGCCGATAAGGGCAGTTTTGTCCGAATACTGCTCTCTAATCTGGGAAAGGCAGGGAAATGATGACAAAAGCTTCATCCTCTGGGTGGAGACCCAACCATTATGAAAAACAGTCACCTTCCAGAGGCCACAGAAGAATGGGTCTACTGCCCTCATGAGCCCCTAAGAAGTAAGTGTTGAGGCAGATATGTGTGGAGGATTTGGCTCTTCCAAGCTACAGATTCCGCCGTTTGTGTTTGGGGTAATAATTGGTTTCTTCTCTGCCCTCTGAGACTCTGAGCGCTGAACATATGACCTCACCAGTGGGAGTAAACTGTTCTGAGAAGTCAGTATCTTTACAGAGCACAGTCCTTGGAACCTTATTGTTTATCGCTTTGTGGTCTAATAGGGTTCCTGTTGAACCAGATAAGAAGGGCAGGATGGTTTTAGTAAACAGACAAGTGACAATAAGATGGATGAAGGAAGAGAAGAAGAGCTGAGGGAGGCTGCTCTTTGACGCTTCACCTTGGTGTGATGAATAAAAGGTACTTGGGAAAGATATATTATGAGTAAAATACTTTCTTAGATTTCTTTTCTAAGGAGAGTAACATTTAAATCTCCAGGACAGGGTTAGGCATTCTTCCTAGAGGTGCAATAATTCACAGTACACACACACACACACACACACACGTACACACAGGCACAGGCACATACACACATGTACACACACATACACTCACACATGTACACACACGCACACTGAGAGTCTGTAAATTGGAGCCATAAGCTAAAACGTGACTGCTGCAGAGTTTAAGGGACATTCTAACTCAGTGCTTTGCAACCTGTGGGCTCACATATTTACATTATGATTTATAACAGTAGAAAATTACAGTTATAAAGATGCAACAAAATAATTTTATTGTTGGGGCGTTACCACAACATGAGGAACTATATTGAAGGGTTGCAGCATTAGGAAGGTTGAGAACCACTGCTCTAATTGAAGACTATTTGAACTGCAGAATCTCATCATTCTGACTGCTCAGTTCTGAACCCTTATAGCAAAGAGGAAAAAAAAAAAAGATGCTCCTCATGATCTGTCAGGACCACAGAATTTTTTGTCCGTGAGAAGGTCTGGATAATAAGAGCTGGTAGATTAATAAAAATAATACTTGCCTCTCAAAACTGTTGGAAGGGTTCCAGGTAACTAATATGTAGAAAAGACGTAGCCAGAGCCCAGCAGACACTGCACTCTCGTCATATGTCGTGCGCCACTGGAAAGGGCAAGAATCAGTGAGAAAGGTGGCAAATTGCACTTGAGATTATTGAGCTAAGTACAGGCTGTGAGTCACTTGGTAGTGATTGAAGGCTTGAAGTCGCTACTGTGCTTCATCATCAGTCCATCTTCTCCACATAGTATATGTCAAAATTAAACTACTGTGTGCAAGATGTTTCCTCTGGTTTGGTTTGTTCTGTGTGCAGATGTGTGTTTGTGTATATGTCCTGATGTTTGTGTGCATGCTGGCACAGTCAATGTGTCAGTATTTGTTTTCCTTCAGTTAAATACATTATGTGCTTATCTTTCAATGAAATGGGGAGTTGCAAAAACTGAATGCCAATAGTACAGTAGAGCCCTCCCCCTTGTGTTTGGGATACGTTCTGAGATGCTTGGAGAGCACTGCATAGCGCCAGACTCCATGAACACCCTGTTTCTTTTCCTGTTCTTGTCAGGCTCAGCACACTTTCCTTCCTGCCCCAGTTTCTTGTTTTTTCTTTTTGTTTTTTTTTCCGTCTATTTCTACCACGATGACTTACTATGACCAAAACCTCCTTCTGGAAGAAAGGGTTTATTTCAGCTAACAGTTTATTCCATGATTGAAAGAAGCCAGTACAGGGGCAGGAGGCAGGAGCTGAAGCAGGAACTTTGGACGAATGCTTCTTCTGGCTTGCTAAGCCAGCTTCTTAGATAGCCCAGCCCACCTGCCTAGGGATGGTATTGCTTATAATAGGCTGGGCCTTCCTATATCAATTATAATTAAGAAAAATATGTCCCACAAACAAGGCCACAGGTCAATGGAATAGAGACAATTCCTCAGTTAAGGGTCCTTCTTCCCAAGTGACCATACTTTTTTTCTCAAGTTCATATCTGAAGGTAACTACAACACTCACTTAACTTATTAAGAATCATTCATCTTTTCACTTAAAGAAAAATATGGCTTCTCATCATCAATATGACTAATCTTGTTCTTCAGGAACTTTAAGTCAATTAAGTCTTACCTATTATCCTACCATGACAATCCTGGTACCTGGTACCCAAAAGGACCATTCAGTAACTAATAGACCAGTAGCATATACAGAGTAGACACAGTGGACACAGAGATGGAAGGAAGAGGAAAACATGTTACATCAAGTTGCTCCAAGAGTGTTTAATTTAAAATCTATACATTATTTTATATAATAAAATAGATACGGTGGACACAGTGATAGAAAGGAAGAGAAAAACATGTTACATCAAGTTGCTCTAAGAGTGTTTAATTTAAAATCTATACATTATTTTTATATTTTCTCACTTAGCAGTATTGAATTATGGTTTATTTAAGAAAAGAAAAACACAGCTAAGTGACACACACCCAGAAAACATACAGATTGTGTGTGTGTGGGGGGGGGTATTGGTTTATAAATATGTAAGTGAGCTTAACCACACCAGATTGAAACTTTACTGTTGAGTTCTCTATTCATATTTTCCCTTGGAGTCTTTTCTTTCTTTCTTTCTTTCTTTCTTTCTTTCTTTCTTTCTTTCTTT